CCAATGACGGAGAAATGGAAGAGATCTACATGAACAGTCTGGACATGAATGGGGGTAATGAAGGGCAAGGGTCGAGGGAAAAAGAGCTTGGGGGAGCGGGAGATCCTAGCTGGATCAACAACAGAGAGGGAGAACAAGGAATAGGAGACCATGGTAAATGAAGACCACATGAGAATAGGAAGCAAAGTGCTAGAGAGGCTCACAGAAATCCACAAAGATACCCCCACTATAGACTGCTGGCAATGGTCGAGAGACAGCCCGAACTGACCTACTCTGGTGACGGGATGGCCAAACACCCTAATTGTCATGCTAGAAACCCCATCCAACTACTGAGGGATCTGGATGCAGAGATCCATGGCTAGACCCCGGGTGGATCTCTGGGAGTCCAATTAGTGAGAATGAGGAGGGTTTTTATGAGTGAGAATTGTTGAGATCAAGGTTAGATAAAGCACAGGGACAAATAGCCAAACAAATGGAAACACATGAACTATGAACCAATGGCTGAGGGGTCACCAACTGGATCAGGCCCTCTGAATGGGTGAGACAGTTGATTGGCTTGATCTGTTTGGGAGGCATCCAGGCAGTGGGACCGGGTCCTGTGCTCATTGCATGAGTTGGCTGTTTGAAACCTGGGGCCTATGCAGGGTCGCTTGGCTCGGCCTGGGAGGAGGGGACTGGACCTACCTGGACTGAGTCTACCAGGTTGATCTCAGTCCTTGGGGGAGGCTTTGCCCTGGAGGAGGTGGGAATGGGGGGTGGACTGGGGGGAAGGTTAGGGGGGCGGGAGGGGGGAGAACAAGGGAATCCGTGGCTGATATGTAGAACTGAATTGTATTGCAAAATAAAAATAAAAAATTAAAAAAAATTAATATAAAAATAAGCCATGAATTTGAAAGAGAGCAAAGAAGGTTGTCTTAGTAAGGGTTTCAATTGCTGTGAGGAGACACCATGACCATGGCAACTCTTATAAAAGGAAACATTTATGGGGTGGCTCGCTTACAGTTTTAGAGGTTCAGTCCATTATCGTCATGATGATGAACATGGTGGCATGCATGCAGATGTGGCACCAGAGTGGTAGCTGAGAGTCCTACATCTTTCAAGCAACAGGAAGTTGACTGAGATACTAGGCCATATCTTGAGCATAGGAAACCTCAAAACCCATCCCCACAGTGACATACCTCTTTCAACAAGGCCATACCCACTCCAACAAAGCCACACCTCCGAATACTGCCACCCACTATGACATGATGGGGGTCAATTACATTCAAGCTACCACAAAAGGTATATAGGAGGGTTTGGAGCATAGTTCAAGAAGGGAGAGATTTTGTGATTATATTATAAACTCAAGCGAAAGAAACCTTTAAAAACAGGGGGTTTTAAAGCCCTATTACCCCACAGATTTCCTTTGCCAGCCTCTTCCTGCTCTCGACGCTTTCAGGTTTCAGTTGTTCCATTTGTTTTTTCTTTTTTTTTTTTTTTAAGATTTATTTGTTTATTATGTATACAGTGTTCTATCTGCAAGTATGCCTGCAGGCCAGAAAAGGACATCAGATCTCATTACAGATAGTTGTGAGCCACCATGTGGTACTGGAAATTGAACTCAGGACCTCTGGAAGAGCAGCCAGTGCTCTTAACCACTGAGCCATCACTCCAGCCCTTTGTTTTTAACTTGTATCTTCTCTGGCACTTTTCAGTCACTGCAAGCCCTTTTCATTCTCATGTCACTGCAGCTTGGCTAAGGCTGGATTCCTGCCTCAGTCAGGCTCTTCAGGTATTTTACCTTTTCCTCTTTTCCATCCCCTGATAGTTCGACACACTGGTTGGAACACTGACTTTACCATGTATCTATTCTAGTGTAACAAGTTAAAGTAGAGGAAAAGCCCCAAGAAGAGTATGAGAAAATGTTCTGCAAAATTTCCACAAAACAAGTTGTTTCACAATGTGTGATTGTTGTAACTGAATGTCAACAGAAGATGCTACCAGATGTCTAGATACCTCAAGATTGCTTTCTTCCTTCCATCTTCCCGATGAAGGACCTCACCTGGGTGTCAAGGGATCAGAAAGAATGTCAGGCACTCAGTAGTCAGCAGTCAGTTAGAACTGAGTTACAGTGACCCAAATCACAAGAGATAGAAGTGTGAATCCAGGGCTAATATGTTAATTCATAATTAAATAATTATAGGTTATGTCTTAGCTATCAAGAGATGTATATGAATGTGTGCATCTGTATATACATAACTCCAAATAGTCTACATTTGAATTTTAGTTATTCCAATATAAGCATCAAATAAGTTAAAGAGCAATGAACAGTATCAAAACATAGTATTCTCTAGGTAGCTGAGGCAAGCAGAGGAAAGTATGTCCTGTAGACAACACTGAACTAACAACAATGAAAATAATATTCTCCCTTTATTCTCCTTTGCTGAACTTTCCACCTATATCTTTATCCTTTCTTAACATATTCACTCATAGGACTTAATGATGTCATTGGCCAACCTGCAGAATCCTTTTGCATCCTGCCAAGCCTTGACTGAAAATCTAGACACATTTATTCCTGTATTTGAATTGCAATATATCCACATGTCCTTAAATATCTACCAACTGGCACAATTATATTATAATTCACAGACATGTCTGGATGATATTAACATTTCATTATGCTCATTAAATACAAAAATGATCTCAAGATTACACCCTGGATACATACTTCAAGTCCAGGTTTGTATTCCTGCCTTTCGAAATCTAGCTTAATGGTCCCACTCGATTATGTCCTTTAAAGGGACTTGGTAGTATCAACAGACAAAAATGACTTCAGTACTGGACCTAAAGGTGACCTCACTTTCCTTGGTAAATTACTCTGCCTGGATAAATGCAATGTTTCTTTCTGACCTTTGACAATAATAGTGCATTTTATTTGGATGGCACTTGGAATTGATTTATTGAATTGTTTATACTTCTCATGACTTACTTTTTCCCCTCTAGGAAAATTGGAATGTATATGTGACTATCAAGAAATATTGTGGCATTATGGGAACAGGTATCATAGACATTAGTAAATAAACCATTGCCTTTTTCTGATGACATGATCTAGTTCCAATGAATTAGACTCTGTAAACCCCAGTTTCTTCATCTTAAAATTGGAGGATAATAGAATCTCCTTTGCAGGACTGATGCAAGGATGAAGCGTGGTGAGGGCTGGTCCCTAGTGGCCCACATTGTCTCCTGCATAGCTCCTACTGAGTCTTCAACTCCTAGAGTTAGTCTCAACCTCGTCTTTCTTGTGAAATGACTTGACCCCAAGACCTTAGAAAGGCACTTTCCATGTTTGCCTCCCTTGCAGCTTCCAGAATTGTGCCTGGAGTGTGTCAGATGCTAATAAGTGGCCATTAAGTCAGACAGGCCAGATACATCAGCCAGCTGTTTTCTTTGGCTTTCAGGTTCATCCAACTTTAGAGTCAATATTTGTCATTACTAAATTGTCAATACTTGAGTCTAAAAGTTTCCTGATTCACAACTCTCCACACATGCCAGCAGCCACTCACCCATATAACAACCTTGAGAGTAAATATTACAAATCTTCATTCATGGCCAAGGAAATCGGTAGGTTTAATTACCTACCCTGTCTAAATTATCCTCTTCGGTAGAAGTGGGATCAAACCTGATCATCCTATCTCCTTAATCCAGTTGCCTATGCATGCAGCGTTGCCATTGAATAAAGGAAAACATTTTTTTTTTTTTTTGGTTTTTTCGAGACAGGGTTTCTCTGTGTAGCTTTGAGCCTTTCCTGGAACTCGCTTTGGAGACCAGACTGGCCTCGAACTCACAGAGATCCGCCTGCCTCTGCCTCCCAAGTGCTGGGATTAAAGGCGTGTGCCACCACCGCGGAAAACATTTTTAAAATGCGTACTTTCTACTTGGTTTTGTGCTGAGATACACATCTGCATTATCTTCCTTGATTTATGAGACTATCAAGTTTCCACAGGCCAGTGATCTCTGTGTGTCTCATTCTCTGTTGTATTCCCACAATTCAACACATTAACAGATCAGTGTAGTTAGCAATAAAATTGGAAGAGTAAATATGTGCAAAATAAAAGAAACATCGCACATTGTCCTTCTGAGACTAAGGCTACCTCACCTCAATTTTATCTATTTTGTAAATAACTGAAGAAAAGTGTAGTTATTGATTTTACCACATTCACACAGTAAGTAGGAAAATGACTTTTTGAATTAAACTTATTTAATCAAGATCTTAACTTCTCTGTTATCCTATGTAAGTGAAGATGGGTATTTACTTACAAAAAAAGAAGAGAGAGGAATAATAAGAAAGAAAGGAGAGAGAGAGAGTTAGAAAAGAAAAAAAGAGAGTTAAAGGTTGTCATTATTAAACCCCCAATATGGTCACAAATTCTTCAGCAGGCAAAGGAAATAATGGGTCATAAAACACTTCTTAGCCCCAGCCCCTCACTTTCTTTACTTGTATATTGCTACTTTCAAAATCATTAAGCCAGCGACTGTACAAGGGATAATTTTGAGCATATGACAATTGCCTCAGAGTCAAAGGCTGTATCCCAACAGCTTAAATATAACAATAGTAGGTTCTTTTCAAAGGGCACATTTTTCTTCACAGCTGCCAGCTCTGCTTTCTATACAAACTAAAAATAATGATCTTTCCATTACGGGAGTGCTAGTATTGTTACTTTCCCTCTTAGCTTATATTAGTGCTTAAATTATACACCCCTGGTCTCCGGGGGTTTAAACTTGGCTGGGAAAACTTTTCCTGAGGCCAGATAGTGACATTAGGAGTACGAGGCTTCCACTGCAGCTTCCTACAGAGCCCGGGGCAAAATTATAGTACCAAAATTGGCTCCAGATATCATTGTTTGTCAGCTATTAAAGGTCACTGACATGATCTTTGTAGTCAGTCTCACCACAATTTCCAAGGCTAATCTTCTCTTCTTAATCTGCCCCTCTCATTACAACAGGGCAGAGAGTGACTCTACCTCATCTAGTGTGGCCGTGGTGCTTCCTCTCATTCAACTGTTTGTACAGGAAATACCTACAAAGGTAATGGGTGTCCTAGTTTTTTTTTTTTTTTTTTTTTTTTTTTAAGAAGCATGAGAGGGATCTTGTCCCAGCAGAGTCAGATTCATCTGGAGGACACAGTGTTTGGGAAGACAAGCCAGGGTAAAGGCAGGGGGTTCTGGGCAAGTGAAAGATATGGTGAACAGGAAATGCAGGCTGTCACAGAAGGAGGTAGTGCTTTCATAATAGAAAACTGTCTTCAAATGCTCCTGTCATTAATGTCCATGATCCTGTAATGTAGAAGCTAACACAGAGTGACAGTGACTTTTTCCGCTGGAAAAATTACAGGAGAAACAAAATAGTTTGTTTTTACTGATTCCTTCTGTTTTTATTCTCGTATTTTATCTGCTGTTATTTATCTACTATTAAGCACCGAGTTATAATAATCAGCATTTAGGAAGGAACTAGGAAACATGTTAGTGGTAAGGAACCCAGCTAGCTTGTGCCTACCGCTCTTGACTTTCATGGTCAAGTGAGGTCCATTCTGCTTCCCTCCTTGTCCATGGTGATATGTGGAGGGAGCGTTTAGTGCAAGACTTAAGGAGACTGTGGATATCTGAGAATAATTTAACTACAGGGGAATGAGAACCAGGCACTATTTAATATACTTAATGGAAGTATAATTGTGTACAGCCCTCTGCAGGCAGCATCCTAAGGGTTCCTGATACTAATTGCTAATCCATCTCCTTGTGAGGATTCCCTTCTGTATGCTCTGAGTGGCTCCTACCCTGTGCTAATTGGTGCTGCAACGGGTGGCTTCTACCTGTCATTCTTATTTTTAATTCCAGTTTCATGGCTCATTTATAATAAAACATGCCCTTCTGATGGCTGTGATGATGCACATCTTTTATCTCAGCACTGGAGAGACTCAGGCAGGAGAGTTGAAAGTTTGAGATCAATCTATGCCACACAGAGAGATCTTGGCTCCAGAAAGCAGAGCAAACAAAACAAAGACAAACAGTGATGACAACAACCTCCCTTCCAATGATACCAGGGAAGTTTTGCCTCCAGCTTCCACGCTGTACAGATCTCAGTCACCATCTAGCCCAAGCCCAATTTTAAAAATAAGAACTCCAGATTCTCTGATTTCAGGATCTTTCTATTGCCTGATCAAAATCTTTAAAACTTCATTGCACAGATTAATTTTAAGTGTGCATGACATTTCTTTTAGCATTGAAATGACTTGTGCTTTAATATTCTGCAAACTGCTCTCCTATAGGCTGCATGCAGGAAAACACCCTAAAATGCACATTAAAGAAACAAATACAATGTGAAGAACATTCAGAAGCTGTTAATTAGGCTGGCTTTAGCAACTTTCTCTCTCTCTCTCTCTCTCTCTCTCTCTCTCTCTCTCTCTCTCTCTCTCCCCTTTAAATAAGTACATGTGCTTATATTATTTAAGATGCCATTCCGGCAAAGTGTGTAATAGTTTTTTGTTTTTCCCTGCTGGAACTATCCTTAGCTTATGTGAGAACATAACTATGGTAATATGTCTCATTGTACTGCAAAGTCTTCCATGAGCTCCAGAATCACTGGCCTGTGAACAGCTTTGGCAAACATGGATTTCCAGATTTATGTTCCCTTTTGTAAAACAGAAAAGTACATTATTTGCATACTTTATTGGTGTTCTGTTTGTTTCTCTGGCACCTTCTTGAAACTTTTTGTTCCCTCTTGCCTTCAAGCTCCTGTGTATGACTGGAAGGAGGTGCTGACCAGACCTCTAAGGAGCCTCTCAGCTTTGCAGCCATGTGGCAGTCACATGAACAGTTGATTGTCAGGAACTATCATTATTATTAATTTTACAACTTATGCTGGTGGTGGTGGTACTATTTCTGTTGTTGAATCAACTAGGACTATTGAGGACCCTATATATTGTTTTTCTACAAACAACACCATAGCTCACTACCTCATATATTCACAGAGTTTTCTTTACAAAGCATTTTTATGTCTACTTTTGGGGTAAAACCTGAAAATCAGATACAACTCAAGTCCTGGGGGAGATGATGAGCTCTCCCAGATAAAAGCCCCACATTTCCATATCAGCAGCCTCCCTATTCCTCAACCAAGCACTGCCACAAGAAGCTCTTCTTTGACTGAATCAAGCTCTACATTTCTACTAATCTTGATTAAAATTGAATTTGTTTGATCCTATTAGATTCTGTGGGTCCATCAATGAAAAAAACTGGCAGAGAATCCATGGCTACTCATACCCCAGCAAAGTAGCATATTATTTTTCAATTTTATTGTTGCTTTATCCAATTCAAATATTTTATCCTAGAAATTGTGATATTTGAATATTTCTTGAATAAGACAGACATGATGGATGTTGTTTGCTCTCTTGAGTATTAATGGTAATTTCCCCATGAGCCTCCCATTTATCAGAGATAGATGACAAGTCTAGCTACCAAGTTGCTTTGTTGTTCTATTTCCCCACAGGACCTATGCTCCTGGGTTATTCAGTGATAAAATGCCTTTCATTTACATCCATGTTTGGGTTGATGTAAGTAAATGAGTATTATGTGTTATTTAGGAATATACAGTTTATACTTCAAAAGTATTGCCCATAGTAATTCCAAAAGTTATTTTAAAACACCAGAAACAATTATACACATGCTGATTCTGGGAGAGGAATTCATGGACTCATAGAATTCCAGACAAAATTTTAACTTCAACAATAGCCAGAGATGGCATGAGAGTTGTTTATAAGGCATCCTAACCCTTCCTCAATGAGTGTACTTTGCTGAAGCCCCAAATCTGTCATAATGCCAGGTTTGCATAGTATTTCTCTGATTCTAATTCTTGTTCATCACCTGAAATCTCCACTTGTTATCATAACTCTGAGATCTTCTTCTGTCTTTGATGCTCTTATATTCTTAGGGTGGCATGACTAATTCAGTCTCACAGGATACAGCACATACATTGACTTCTGTATTGCAATACTTCTAGATTAGTGCAATCATTCCTGAAACCTGAACCTCACCCCTACCAGTACAATGCATAAACCCCATTGCTCTATGAAAATCCCCTTTTGCAGCATACACCACCCTTGGAAGGATAAGGCTGTTAACAATGATCACTATCAGCTCTTTTGAGGATCAGAAGATGGCAGTGATGAAACAATTATTCCAGATCCAGACCTGAATATTAACAGGAAAACAACAAACTCATCTATCAGGTAAATATGTCACCTAGACTCTCAATATGAGAACAAGGATGGCTGTTCCATCTTTGCAATTCCAGCTTTGGGGAGGCAGAGACTGGAGGACTGAATCATACATTTGAGGTAAGATCCTGTCTTGAAAAGAAAGCAAACAAACAAAGAAAAAAACAGTGAATTGTAGTTCACTTTGTCAAAATTTCAATAAATATCCCCCTTGGCAAACATTTCAAAAATCAATTAAGCCACAGAATTATTGTAAGTTATAGATGAATAATTACCAACTGTGAGGACAAGCTGGCAAAGTGATTGGTCCCTTACAGCATTGCCGCATCCAGGTCTAGATGAAGTCCGTTGTTACTGCAAATGGAAACATAACTTCTTTCTGTTCCTTTCTTGAGGAAAGAGGCAATATCTTCCAAATGGCATGTGACCCAGCTAGCTTTTAAAGTCGTGAACAAGGTAAGTTGTGCTAAGAAACCTTCAATGATAGCCTATGGCAGTTTGAAAAGGGTTCAGGTGGAGTAAGAGACAGTAACATTAAACCATCCTGAAGCTGGGAGGAAGCTCTCATTCTGGCAGGCTGTGGAGAGTTTGACAGAACTTTGCAAACATGAAACATCTGAACTTTACATGACCACCTGGGGCTGTCTCTGTTGGATGTGATACAGGGAGAAAGCTCAGAGGTTGTGTCTTCACATGGGAGCTAAGTACTTATCATCACAGAAATTCACACAGCTCTGTGGTCACGCCCAGACTCCCATTGGAAAGACAGAGATACCAGGACTCTGGGAGGATAGATGTGTGTAAGACCACATGCTACGTTAACAGCTAATCTGCTCTTGGAGAGAGGAAATTGAGACTCAGTGCCTGTGCTCTAGATCTTTCTGTTTGGTTCCCTGTGGATGAGTCATGTTCTTTCTTAGTAAGGTTCTGCTACCCTCTCAGCCCAGTGATTATTGCTTCCTTGCCCAGTGAACACTGCATTCTCATTTCTCTGCCCAATGGACATTGCTGCTGGTACCCTTAGACTCTAAGGCTTGGATGATTTCCTTATATCATTTAATATTTGCAAGAATCATCCTCACAGATACTTGTCTTTCTTTTTTTTAAGATGTCTAGTGGAAATATTAAGACTCTAGAATCTCAGTCACTTGTCAATCTATAGACACAAATTTATAGTTACTAACACATAGACTCATATAACAACAGATATGCAAACAATAATTAGGTAATAATGGAATTGAGTCAGGTTTCCTAGGTAGACAGATTGTATGTGTATGAATGTGTGCATTAGTGAGTGTATGTGCATAATTTAACCTATCAGAGTCAAGACAGGGTGTAAGCATCAAAGTGACAAGCCACAAATCTCTATCTCCCTAATCTTTGGCTCAGAACAAATATCACATGATCTCCCGTATATGTGGAATATAATGCACAGAATTGGAATGGGGAGAGTTGGTGAAAGGTACACAATTTCAGTTAAGGAAAACTATAAGTTTACAAAATCTATTGTTCAATATGATGACTGTAATTAATAAAAATGTGATACCCTTGATATTGTTCACCTGTCTTCATGTCTGTGCTCTTTGCGATAGATAGGAAAAGGAAACAGCCAAGATATATATCATCTGTTGACTGGATAATACAAAAATGGTACATATACAGAGTGGAATTTACCTAGCTGTAAAGAAAAATCTAATTATGAAATTTTCAAGTAAACACACACACACACACACACACACACACACACACACACACACACACACATATATATATATATATATATATATATATATATATATATATATATATTTGAGAGAGAATGTGTTCACCTAAATGGTATTAAGCTATATGGGGCTGGGGTTGCCATAAAATATAAAACAAGACTCCTGAACCAGGTGTGGATTATCCCTTTGAGTTGTTACTCAGGGGTTCCTCTGGACCCCTAAAATATGCAGGCTATTACTAGTCTCTTGACTACCCACTTAAACTGGAAGGCAAGAACCTATTAATGAAGACCCTACATACTTGTGTCATAGGATATGGAGAAATCAAGTTGGTTCTAACCAGAAAGCTTCATTCCTACTAACTGGTCTTCATAGTACTAGAAGACACCATGCAGGTTGCAAGGAGAAAAAAAGAGTCAGTAGTCTTTTCCATCTGTGGAAATTGCAAGCTAAAATAATGACAGGCCCAGACAGGTATCTCTATTGGTGAAAAGTGGCATGAATGTTATGTTAGTATAGCAAACTACTTTATGATTGAATTTATGGGATGCTTCACAAGAAAGAATGTATACTTGGCATTGCTAATTACATCAAAAAACCCAAGGCAAAGTTGGTCATGGGCCCTAGTGAAGAACCCATTATTATTGTTTTTGCTAAATGGGCATAGTATCAAACTGCCCTCTGAATACTTACCTTTATATTCATTGACAAATATAGCTCTCAACAGAGAAGATTCATTTTTGCTGTAGATAGTGAATGATACAGAAGCTCACATCTGGTCAGAGTGCAGAGAATAAGAGTGTGGAATGCTCAGTCCTAAATGAAACCTCTATATCACACTCCCTCCTCTCAAGGCTCAAGGCTCATCATAGAAGAAAAGTGAAAGACTGCAAAAGCCAAAGGTTGCTGAGGACTTATGCAAGATGGTGCTTGCCAGATATAACAGAGCCATTACACAAAGGAACTCATGGTGACTGTGGCTCAATGCACAATATCTGCACAAGAGCAAGCCACCCAGAATCCCAACATGAATGGAGGAGAAGCCCATGAAGTCCCACTCATAGCTAAGGAGTTATATGGCTACTAAAGGGTGATAGTCTTTCTTCCTTCCTTCCTTTCTTCCTTCCTTTCTTCCTTCCTTTCTTCCTTCCTTTCTTCCTTCCTTTCTTCCTTCCTTTCTTCCTTCCTTTCTCCCTTCCTTCCTTCCTTCCTTTCTTTCTTCCTTCCTTCCTTCCTTCCTTCCTTCCTTCCTTGTTTGCTTGCTTCTCTTCTTGCTTGTTTTTGTTTTCAGTACTAAATGGACACTGTACTTAAAAAAAATTAAAGTACATGAATTTGGAAGATAGAATTGGTGAGGGTCATCAAAAGAATTGAAAAGGAGTGAGTGTTGGATCTTAGCAAAACCCATTGTAAGTTTAGTATGTATGAAGTTCTGAAACAAAATTATTGTGCTTATTTAATTATTTATCTATTTGAATATATGTGCACACACATGCATGACAGAAAACAACTTGAGAGAATTCATTCTCTCCTTTCAGATGTGGGTCCTGGGGATTGAATTCAGATCATCAGCCTTGGCAACAACTACCTTTATATGATGAGCCATTTCACCAACCAGAAAAGATATTTTTACTGTTTCCATGATGCGATGAGTAACCATTTGAGCTGGTGGATACTACATCACTTGTCTTACACATTTCACAGGGCAAGTAATCATTGGGCCTTCTCTCCTCTCAAGCTATAAGTCATCTCCCATGAGCTCTGCCTCCCTAGTTATATTATTTATTTTTATGTGGATGGGTATTTTGCCTGCACATTTGACTGTGCACAAAATGTTCACAGGGCCTGTAGATGCCAAAGGAGGGTGTTTGATCCCAGTGACTGGCATCGTAGACAGTTGTAAACTATGATGTGGTTGTTGGAACTTAAACCAGGCCCTCTGGAAAGACATCCAGTATTCTTAACCACTAAACCATCTCTCCTGCTCTATATCCTATGTTTGGTCATGCTATTAGATGTTTTATTCCAAGTTGCCACCATCTGACATGGTGTAAGTATGCGAATCATATACTACTCTTCTAGCCATCCAATCTTGGTTTGGTTCATTTTTGTCCTCCCCAGTCAACATGGTGTGTTTTAATTAACCTCTCCAAGAGGCCTTGCTTCTCTCAAACCCATAGAACAATCTGTCACTATGTCACTTGGGGTTTCTATGACCACCTGTGTTTCCAGAATTTTGGTGAGTTAACTAACACATTAAAGGAACATGCACAATTGATAACAGCAGGCTTTACTCAAAAGAGAATGAAACCACAGTAGAGAGACATGATACAAGGAAGCAGAGGGCTGAAGCAAGATGACTCTTGAACTCCTTTCTGGTTTTTTCTTGTAAGTCTAGGTATGGAGAAGAGCTGATTCCCTAGATAGGGTAACTGGGGAGATACTAACCATGTTTGATAAATGAGCTGCTATATAACTTCAGACTGGTTGTGCATGTGTGGGCCATATATCTCATAATTTCTTAAAATTTTTTGTTGCATATAAGTGTTTTCTTGAATGTAAATATGTGCACCATGTACATGACTGCTGCTACTAGAGGCCAGAAGAGAGCATCAGAAACCATGTTGTTGGGAACTGAACTCAGGTTCTCTAGAAAAGCAGTAAGTGTTTTTACTCGATAAGTCATCTCGCAAGCCTCCCCAATTATAAGCATCTATTTCCCACAACATGCATAATATGAGATGCTCAATAACGGTTTTTCCCTTATAGATCACCTCAAGGACAGATTAGCCATCACTACTCTTGGGGTCTAAGCAGGTCTTGTTTAATCGTTCCTTCACAAAGTGATTTATCACAAATTGACAACAGAAGGGGATATGCTGGGTGTTTCCCTACTGAGAAAAGACAAATATGTTTTCCAAGCAGTGGTACTCTGAGTCCCTGGGCTGACCTGGCTGTATCCTAGCATGCCTTGGCTGTATCCTAGCTCCCTTATTTTCATTTTATTTTTCAGTCATCACTCTCTTGGGAACCATGTTATTAATTTGTTTGTGTCTTCATTGTCTATCTCCTGTATCAGAAAAAAAGTTAAGATATGTTGGCTAGTTTTATGTCAACTTGACACATATAGTCATATGAAAGGAGGGAGCTGCAAGTGAGAAAATGTCTCCATCAGATTCAGCTGTAGGGAATTTTCTTAATTAGTGATTGATAGAGAACCAAGCCCATTGTGGGCAGGGCCACCCCTTGTCAGGTGGTTCTGGGTCCTATAAGAAAGCAGCCTGAGCAAACCATTGGAAGTAAGCCAATAATATGCACTCCTCTATGGCCTCTGCATCAGCTCCTGCCTCCAGGTTCCTGCCTGCTTAAGTTCCTGCCCTTGGTGCTTTTGTTGATAAACTGTTATGTAGAACTATGAGCAAAATGAGCCCTTTCCACCCCAAGTTGCTTGTGGTCATGGTGTTTTATCACAGCAATAGTAACAGTAAATAAGACAGAAGGTAGACTTTATTCTTTTAAGTCTAGTCCTAATATTAGCTGTAAAGTAAAGGATAACTGTGCTACAATCCACAGACCCAGAGAGACTAGGTAACAAGGAGGAAATAAGGGGATGTGTGAATGTATCACCCTGGAAAAGGGAAATAGAAGAGATCTCATGGGTGGACTGGGGGTGGGTAAGAATGGGAACACAAAGGAAAGTTTGCAGGGTAGATGGAGGGGTAGAGTACTAAAAGGGATGACTGGAAAGGAAGGGGTGAATTTCAGGTAGTTAGAAACCTGATGCTAGGGAAACTTCCAGGAATCTACAAGGATGACCCCAGCTAAGTCCTAGCAACAGTGGATATGTAGCCAGAACTGGCCATCTCCTATGATCAGGCAAGACTTCCAGTGGAGGGATTGAGACACCAACCAGCCACACAAATTTTGATCTACAGTCTGTCCTGCCTATGGAATGTGCTGGGGTAAGGGAGGCACAGGGCCAACCAATGACTGGTCCAGTTTGAGACTCATACCACAAGAATGAGCCCACCCTTGACACTGTCTAGAGTGCTAGGACCCAGAGACTGGATTACCCAGAGAACTAGGATAGAACCAACCACAACTGGATGAAAAAAGTCAATGAAATGATACCTATTGATATTCTGCTACACTCATAGATTAGTGACTACCCCAGTTGTCATCAGTTTTATCAGTAACTGATAAAAACAGAGGCAGATACCCACAGTCAGACATTAGGCCAAGCTCATGGAATCCTGCTGAAGAGAGGGAGGAGGGATTGTAGGAGCCAGAGGGTTAAAGGACATAACAAGAAAACCCACAGAACCAACTAACGTGGGTGTAGGACATTTACCCACCAACTCTACAGCTCCTCAGAGTTTTCTTTAGTGCAAGCAGCAGGAAATATTTAGATAGAAGGATTTAGATTGTGGAGATAAACAGATAGAAAATACAGGATAGCCTCGAGAGGGCCTGGAACCTATTCCAATGGGCTCTGACTGTCTCTTCCCCAGGGTATTTATAGAAATGCCAAGGGGTGGAGCAAAAGACCTCTCCCCAGCACAGCCAAGTGCAGACCATCTCAGACACCTGCACTCAGCCCCATGGTCCTAATCATCCTCTCTATGGGGACCTGCTGGGTAAAGCCATGAGGAATCTGAAAACGTGCTTCCATACCTGGGCTCATAGGAGCTCACAGAATATGAACCAACAACCAGGGAGCCTACATGGGACCAACTTAGGCCTTCTATATATATGTGAGGATTGTGTAGCTTGGTCTACCTGTAGGACTTCTAACAGTGAGAGCAGGGGCTGTCCCTAATGCTTTGGCTGGCTTTTGGGAACCTATTCCTCATACTGGGTTGCCTTGCCCAGCCTTAATACAAGGGGATGAGCTTTGTCTTATCCCAACCTGATATGCCTTGCTTTGTTGATACTGATGGGAGGCCTGTCTATTTCTGAGTAGAAACAGAGAAGGAGTGGAAGGGAGGGAGAGCATAAGGGAAGTTCAAGGAGGGAACAGGAGGAGAAGAGAAAGGGGAAACTGCAGTTGAGATGTAAAATAAAAAAAATAAATTTAATTAAAAAAAAGTCTAGCCCTAGAGTATATGATAATACTCTCACATAGTGAGAACATAGTAAATATTTAAGGAATGAATAGATGGGCATAAGCAGTCTTATATAGTGGCAATACTGAGGATTTAAATATTTTACTATGTTCCATACATGTTTTATAATATATTTGGTATTTAATATGTGAATTTTAGAAATTATAACATTAATTACAATTAAGATAAATACAACAAGAGTAGCTTTTTGTTATTTGGAATGGGTTGCTTTTAGATGCTCACCAAAATGATAGGCTTCATGAGGCCACAGGATTATCTCTTCAGAGAAATATATTTCTGAAATAAATGTCAAGTCTTTGTTGAATACTGAATATTTGCACATTGTAAAGATGCAAAAAAAATGTTGATAACTTCCTAGCTTGCCTAGGTCAGAGTGTTCCAGACAGATTACAGGCTACATATGGAGAAGCGTTGATTTACAGGGTGTATTTCATCTGTAGCACAGTTTTAAGAAATAATGATAGTTCTAACAGGGATGAAGACATCCTCGGGCACTGAGAAATATTTGCTAGGAAACACAGGTGCCTGAAATGGTAGTTAAAATGTTATCTCTGGATTGCATCTCAGATCTATGCTAATTGTCTTTCTATTGTGTAACAGAAAAACAAGGTAGTCAACGTTCCAAAGAGAAGTTTGACTCTGCTTTATAGTTTCAGAGACTTCAGTTCATATTGACTAACTCCATGACTCTGGGGTCTGCATTGAGGTAATACATTATGACAGCGTATGTGATGAAGCAAAGCTGCTCATCTAGTGAGGAAACACAATAGAAAGGGGATGTCACTGTTATTTCAAGATCATTTCCTGTTATAACTTTCTTCTAATAGGTTTTATCTTTTGAAAGGTCTACCCCTTCCCAGTAGTGATACTCTAAAAGGTCAACCTCCAATCTGTAGTCTTTAGGTAAATTCCAGATTGAATATATAGAGTCAGTTGAGTGAGAATCCTTGGATTTTCCCTATCTAAAATGTTTCCTAGATGATTCTCAAGCCCATTATCTTTGATTTTTCAATCTGTGAGTATCACAGTCATGGATATTGTTGCAGGGTCTTCTTGGGGTTCCTGAGTTGAAGATGGGAAAAAAAGAGGAAATAGCTATTCATCGGTGTGTGTAAAGATCACAGGTGATTTAATTAGATAAGGGACAAATTCATTAGGGCCCTAAAATTTAGCTCATTAATTGTAAGCAAATAATCACTATTGTGTGAGTGTCTAAGGCTGAGGCTTACTTTTCCTTTTCTTGCTCTCCCAGCATATGGTAGAGTGCTTGACATAGCAAGCAACAACCATTCTGTGTCTAGCAGATATAAAACAACATTTGAGTTTGTCAGTTTTTTTTTTTTTAATCAATGCAGCCTGAATGTAAGTGCTGTCCATCATATAAGAACAAGTGTCAATAAGGCAATTCTTAATAACCACAGAAAATACCAAATTCAATGGACATTCCAGAGGATGATGTTGAAGTCAATTCAACAGGTAACAAAAATCTAATTAAACACTCACTGTACACTAATAACTAATTCCAAAGTTATGATTAATTTACATGTTAATACATGAGTGCCTACTCTGTATGCACTGATATTTTTTGGGGCATTTAGAATAAATCCTTGCATAACACAAATGTGTCACATGAATCTAATTTCCTTTGTAGGGGGAGAAATGCAGCATGAAAACAAAGGGAAAAAAACTTTAGTAAGTGTGCCAGAATGTGCTAATTTTTTGAGTAGAAAGAGAAAGTTGAGCAAGATGAACAGGATGAAATTGTAGAGCATAGTGCTCTGCAGAATTGAATAGAAAAGTGGCTTACTTTCCACTCACAAAATGGTCTGGTGTACCACTTTTATTCTGCATTTTCAGATGGATAGATCAGACTTAATAGTTACACAAGATCAGCTATTAAGAAATGGAAATGCATCAGACCCAGGGAACCTGAAGAGGTCCAGAGTCTTGTATTTCTGGAATTCCTAGTAATATATCATAAGCCATTGGCAAATGGCTGCAGCATTTAAGAAAATAGAGTAACCACAGCACTAGGTCAGCTGCTGTGGCTTTCCAAGAGATCCAGGGCAAGAGTAAGCAATTCCATTGACCATAATCCTAGGCTTAATTACCCAAAGGGCAGCGGGAGCCTTCAGTCACCCGCAGAGTCTGTGGCTGGAACAAGACTCATGATTCTAATAAAGAATCAATAACAGGAGGGCCACTGCATAGCTTTTTACTTGATGAAGTGAGGGAGGGGCTCACTGGGGATAGAACATCAGGGCAAAAGGGAAAGTGAGCACAAAGAGGTTTATTTTTAGTTTCAATTAATAATTTTTGCTGAGATATCAAGTTTGGGGATACTTTTTAAAAACTTGCAACATAATTACTTTCTAATTGCTAGAAATGAGTAGACATCTGAGTACAATATTCCTATATTTTCTTAATTGTGAAATTACTGAACATCGTTTTGCATCCTCTAACACCTTTATTATTACTTGAGAGGAATAAAACGGCCTTAGGATCGTAGCTAGTCCACATGGAAGGAGGCCTTAGAGATTGCTTTGCCTGAATTCTGCACTTTGGAGATGATGGAGTTTAGAAGCTGAGAGAAGACAGGCACCACACCTGAGAGCCCTAACTGTGTCACTGAAGAGACAGACATGGTGTTTGGAAAACCAGGGGCTATTAGCATCGGAATCACCTATTCTTTGCTCTTATTCTCTAAATAGGAACATAATCCCAACACAAGCTAATTGGTTTCTTACTATAATCTTGCTTTCTCCATCACACACTTGCCATTGATTTTCTTAATGAAAATACATGCCTGCTCACTGAAAACACTTCAAAGACTCTCTGCTGTTACTGTGGTTGAGATAACGGCCCTCCTAAGGTCTGTGTAAGATTCCCAAGAGGTGGTGAAGTCTTTAAGAGTGGAGGACATAATAAAACTCAGAAAGCTTTGTGAAAAAAAAAAGAGTGGGGCTTACTGAAAGTAAACTAGGATATAGTTGGCTTTTTTTTCTTTTTTTACTCTTTGGGGGTCCACTACCCAGCTCCCAAATAAATACACTGAGTCTTATTCTTACTTATGAATGACCAACCTTAGCTTGTCTTGTTTATAGCCAATGTCTTGCTTAAATTATTCCGTTTCTCCTTAACTATGTTTTGCCTCTGACCTTTTTACCTTTTTTTTATTCTATATATCTTTCTTTCCTTCTTACTCCATGGCTGGCTGGGTGGCTGGATGGTTGGCCCCTGGTGTCCTCCTCTCCTTCTTTTCTCTCTCCTTGTTCTTCTTCCTCAAGCCTAGATTTCTCCTCTTATTTGTTCTGTCTGACTGGCAGCCCTGCCTATCCCTCTCTAATGCCTAGCTGTTTGTAGTTCACCTCTTTACTACACCAATTAGGCATTTTAGACAGGCAAAGTAACGCAGCTTTACAGAGTTAAACAAATGCAACATAATAAATACAACACATCTTTGCATCATTACACAAATATTCCACAGCATAAACAAATGTAATGCATCTTAAACTAATATTCCACAATACTATGATTTGGGAACTGCCCTTGCTATGATTGTGTTGCCTTGTCACAGAACCAAAGCAATGAATCTAATAAACTCACCACTTCTGCAATTGTGAACCCAAATGAGCCTTCTGTCTCCGTAAGTGAACCTGTCTCAGATGATTGCTACATGACTGAAAGCTGACCAAGGCAAACATCTTCATAGTAAAGTTGAATTTTGTTACTGTAGACAGAATGTTTTCCACTGTTGTCCTCTCTGTAGGTTTTCAGGGATATTCCTTATCTTCTCCCATTGCATTTCCCCCCCACATACTCTCAGCTCTTTGCCATGCCTACCCTGCCTAGAACTTGGTTTTATTCTACCTGAGTTTTCTACTTTCTCTATTTTTCTAAGTCATTGTCCCTTTTTTGAGCATCACTGTATTTTGAGTATGATGATACTTCATGTTTTCTTTATATTTGTCTTTTCTATAACAGAGCCAGTGTATAACAGGAGCTATAAATTTTTCTCACCTCTCTTTGTATCTCCATCCTTTAACAGAAGAAAATGAAACAAAAGTAAAAACAGAAGTTTAATTCTTCATTGACATCTCTTAAATAAAATGTGTTCCTATAGATTTCTATGGATGTGGAATTGTAAATGTGATTATAAACATATGATTAGAAACTCTTTTGTGCCTCCCTTCCCTCTCTCCCTCCATACCTCTCCCCCTCCAGAATTCCCTATAGCACAAGATGATCTCTAACTCACCACACTCAGATATAGATGACCTTGATTTTCTAATCCTATAGCTTCTACCTCCTGGGGGATGGAATTATAAGCATGTCCAGTGAACCTGGTTTATGAGATGCTAGGGATTGACTGGCACTCTGTGAACAGAGCTACATCTGTGAACAGAGCTACATCTCAAACTGTGGTATTTTCTCTTCAAACCTTAGTTTCTCATTTGTTAGTATTATTAACACTCTATCATATTATCTAATTGCAACGAACTTTACAAAATTGTGCAGGATGTAATCTAAATTCTCTGTTCGTTTCTTGAACACGATAAAAACCTTGTGCTAAATTTGCTAATATGCCTCCAAAGATGGTGAAGATATACATAAAGTTAGAGGAGTTTATAGTCTAGGTTGAGTGATAAGAAGCACAAAATGTTATGTCCAAATGTCTAAGCAGACATGCAAAGAAGTGGGGAAGTTTAGAAAAAGCAATGGGTGATTTCTGTTTTAAAGGACTGGTAAAACTTTAGAAAAAGACCAATCATTTGAGTGAAAACTGATAAAAGATAGATTAAAATAATTCATAAACAATACTAATAGTAGGAATTCTCAATGATACCCTGGATTTTCCTTGAAATACAGTAACAGCATGAGCTCTCTTGAAGCTGCTCTTATTAGTATTGAAATATCTGTACTTCGTGATCTCAGGAATACAAAGATAAAGATTATTTAAACTAGGTTGTCAATCCCCCAACAGATTAGTTTAGAGTAATTCAGGTCACCCTAACCCAATATGGTATACCTAGAATTGAAAAATCTGAAGGTAACTTATTGTTAATTAAAGCCTTGACTAATGCCTTTCATCCAATTCAATAAGTATTTATCAGAGACCTATTGTGGCTTGTGGTTATACTATTTGCTGAAGATAGAGATATGACAGTATTTAA